TCTATTTATTTATTGTCGGTCACAGGGCTTGAATGCTGGGCCTGAGCACTGTCCCTCAGCAATTCAGCTCAAAGCAAGCGCTCTACCACTTGAGCCACAGTGCCACTTCTGGTTTTCTGGTGGTTTATTGGAGATGAGAGTCTATTGGAGTTTATTGGAGATGGGCTTTCCTGCTCAAGCTGGCTTTGAACTGTGATCCTCAGATATCAGCCTCCTGAATAGCCAGGATTACAGGCGTGAGCCACCAGAGCTCAGCTTACCTTTTCTAGTTTTAAGCAGATTCACTGTGAGAAATCTCAACATCTGAGAGGAATTTGGGGGATTTTCAAAAGCACAGTAATTTAGTTGAGGAATAATAACTAACATTCAACTCACCGTCCACTTAGACATGTATTTGATTTGTTAAGTTGTGACACAAGTACAGTATGAGCTAGTGTGACCATATCTTTAAGCCAGATAGTTAAGATCGTCAGAACTTGGAAAAGTTTTGGATATTCTTTTAGATCACCCTGTCTTTCCCAGCTTAATCAAGGCATGGGAAGGGTTTTTATTTTTTCTTTTTCATCTATCCTTGGCAGCCCTTGCTTGTGGACGCTATCGCCCCTAGTGGTAGAGTGCGATAATTGCAGGCTTTTACCGGCCTCCAAAGATGAAACGGAGACTAAGTTAATGTGATCTGAAAAGTTTTTGACATGTACTCACCCATGTAATTACCACCCTAGCCACGATGATACACCAGAAAACCAGAAGTGGCGCTGTGGCTCAAAATGGTACAGTGTTATCCTTGAGCAAAAAAATCTCAGGGACAGTGCCCAGGATCCGGGTTCAAGCCCCAGGGTTAACAAAATAATAATAATAATAATAAAGTTAATGTACACTATATGCAGAGTGTTACAGAGTCAAAACATGGAAAAAGAGGAAATAATTAAAATACCCATAAAAAGATGGATGATAAAGTAGTATGCCCATACAATGGAATGGTACTCTGCTTTCAAAAGGAAAGAAATTCTGGTACATGCTAAGAAATGGATGAACTTCCGAGATATTAAGTGAAACAAACCAAAGGACCAATGCTGTGTTGTTATATGTACATAATCGACCTTGAGTAGCCAAATTCATACAAACACACTACAGGGTAGTGATTTGGGGCTGTAGCAGGGTGTCTGGGCAAGGGAAAGTGTAAGTATGGGAGGTATTTGGAATGAGTACACAATTTGAGTTTGGCACAATTCTAGAAATGGAGAGAAGCCTTGTTTTTCCCAACAGTATCACTATGCTTAATGACTCTCACTGTACACTTTATAATGGCTCAAGTTGTAAGCTAATCATTATTTATTGCTTAACAACAAAACAAGAACAAAAACCAAAGCCAGTGTTAATCTCCTGGAGCACAGCCTGAAAGTGGCTGCAGCCACAGGATAAGGGCAGGGCAGAGCTCCTCATTTTCCACGGGGTGAGTGGGAACCATTTATCCTTGGGAGTAAGACTTCCTAGCTACTTGGCTTTCTACACCTCTGAGTCCAGCACAGTGCAGCATCTTAAAACAGAACTACAGAACGACTCTCCACGGAGTGGGGACGGGGGCACAGTGCCTCAGCTGTCCCCTGGGGCTGGAAACATGGACATCTGGGTAACTCTAGGGATGTGTCCGTAGCTGTCCAGGTTCCTTCCTCTGAGTGTAAGCCCCCACATCTCTCCACCAGCATTGGACCACCAAGGGAGACTGGCATGGGTGATGCTCTTGGTGGAGGTACGGATAAGGATTGGGGCTGAGTCGCCTCCTGCTGCGAGTAACCCCATTGACTCTAGGCTCTGGTGTGCTCCTGAACATCCAAACCCTACTGGGACAAGAGGTCAAAACCTGCAGCCACAGAAAAGCCTCGGTGCGCATCTGTGGTTCCAGCCACCCTAAGCCCAGTGCTAGCTGTGTCCGGGAGCCAGCTGGCCACCCTCACCCAACCTGGGCCTCTGTGGGAGTTCCTGGCTGGACACTGACCCCCCGGGACCCCGCCAGCGCCAAGGCCACCGCGCCACCGCCAGGGGGCAGCGCTTCCCTGTGCGCGCGGGCTTCTCAAGGACTGGACCCGCTACTCACCGCGTCCTGGCAGGCAGGGCGCGCTGCGAGGGGCTCGCCTCGTGGCTCCCCCCGCCCCACCTCAGGGAAAGGGTTTCTGTTCCTGGTATCAGATAAGGAGAGTGGGGTGGGGTGGAGATTTCTTGGGCACAGTCTGCGGGCGCCAGGTGAAGGCCCAGGGGAGGGAAGACGCGGTGGACAGGAGGGGAATGTGGCGAGGTGTGACGCGCTTGGGTTTCCACGCCTGGGGAAGTTCACGGCAGGTACAGACAGATCGCGGACAGATGGGTAGTTAAGAAGTGAAGGCAAACCAAACGGGAGCGGCGCCCCAAAGTGGGGCTGGAGCTCACATCTCCTGTGCCTGAAGAGGTCCGGTGGTTGATCCTCCGCTCTGCACCGAGCAAGTGCCCACCTTTGCCCCTCCGCAGCGGGAGGGGACTTCGCCTCATTTGTCAGAGGTTTTCCTAACCCTCTGAGGAGGGACCCACGGACAGAGCTACAGCGCAAATGCAAAGCCTATTTTCCCCACGCGGTTCTAGGACAGACAAACCCGAGGCAATGCAAATCGCGACCGGCACGAGGGCTGTGGGAAAGTAATGAATGGCCTGAAACAAATTCTTCCTCCATTTTATCTTTTACGTATTCTGCCACACACCAACCCTCAGGACTGCGGAAATCAGGGTGTTTATTTAGGTACCGACTGAATACTTATAGAATTCAAACTTTTCGATGTAAAAATGAACTCCCTGGTAAGGACTTCTGTCTACATCAACAAAGCAACGTGATGCTTGATTAATAGTGCTGATTAATGTCGGCTCGGACTAATGCGGAGCCCATTACAATAATTAAATGGTTCGGCCATATATCAAACAAGGGTCAATGGAAAATAATTTATTTAGTACTTTGAAGCTTTCCCCTAGATCTTTCAAAGATCTAACTTTATGGGTCATTTGTAAAACATGTAACTCATGCTAGCCATACTTGGGAACAAAAACTCGATTTTAGGAGAAGTCTTGGAAGGAGGAATAGTTTATTTTTCAGGCTCTTGATTGATAACCGTTGTAACAAATACGTTTAAAATGTGGGGAGTACTTGGCTGATAACATTATATACAAAAGGCAATTGATGATTGCTGCCACAGAAAGCCATTGAATTTTGACTCTTGGTTCTTGTCAAATGGTCATTTTAACCTGAAAGCGGTTAAAGCAATGTATCCTGTTTGAGATATTTACTTTTGGGGGGGAGGGGGGTGCTAGAGATAGAACCCAGGGCCTCATACAGGCTAAGGTAGCCCCTGAGCTACCAATATTCCTAGCTTTCCCCCACCCTCAAAACAGAAGCTTTCAGGAAAAATAAACAAATCCACAAACTATTAGGATCTTCCACTAGGAAAAATAATTTAATTAGTGATATAGATATCCTTAGAATGGCATCGTATTTAATTACTCCCACGCTCTCCTCACACCTGGAAATGAAAGAATGGAATTTGAATCTTATACAGAATCTTTCATTTCTTCTCACCAAAGGGTATTGGAAAATTTTAATGAGTTTCTCCCAAAATATACTCTTAAGTTGATCTTAAAGACCGTATTTATCACTGTAGTTTCTATGAAGCCTACGTGAATAGAAATGTGTATATGTTACCGAATTTAAGTATTTTAAGATAACTCTGAAATGCGAGTTAGAATATGCTCTTTCCTGAGAACTAGAGACCCTTCTTCCTTTCTCCAACGTGAAGACACTTTTAAAAGTCGCTCCTATGTGCAATCTTTGTGTGTATATGTTTCCCCCTATTTTTTCTATTTCTTTTTCGTATTCAAATATTACTTCTTTTATTCCCATGGAGTTTGTGAGCCCCTCTCATTAGAGTGGCTTAGTTTAGCTGTCAAGTCTCTAGGGCATTCAATTGCAGATAAATGACTAAAACGCCCGCCTAACCCGCATTTTTATTAACAGATGGCGGAAAACAAACGTCTTTGGAGAAGAACCGAAGGGAACGGGTTAAAGGGTCAATAAACAATTATTATCGTGCTTAATCTAAGGGTGGATCTCATCAGATTTGATGGGGAAGCCGCTAGCCCAATCCAGGGGAGCTGGGACTTCCCAAGACCCTCCCCCCCGCCCTCCCAAAGCGCTCCAGGGAGCACCACGCCGGACCCAGAGGTTACCCCTTCCCCTCACCCCACACCCCGACCCCGGCATCCCAAGAGGGCTTCGGTGGGTCCGGCTGAGAGCTAAGGGAGGAGAAGCAAGCTGAGAACTAACTTGGGCAGCGGTGGGGTCCCGACGCCCGCGGGCCAGCGCGAAATTCAGGTGATCAGCTCCTTTGTCAAGGAATCGTGGGGTCCACTCTCGGCGCGGCTGCTGCCCCCTCCTGCGGGTGAACTTTCTCTCTCCCGAGCGGAGCAGATTTCCGAGGCAGGCTTTTCCCTTCCCTCGGCCGGGCTCTGACGCGCACACCATGTGACAGGCCCCCTTCTGCTATAAGCCGAGGAGAGGTCCGCCCTCTTCTGGACTCAGCCCCGGCCTGGCCGAGCTCGGTTCCTAGACTCTCCCGCGTCCCGCGGCTTTCCCACTCCCCCCCCCTCCCCGAGCGCCCGACTCAGACTCGCCCACCCGGGCGCAGCCGCCCCCTCCTGCACGGTCCGGGCGAGAGGCGCCGGGACAGCCGAAGGTCAAGTCCTCGGGCCGGCCGGGGTGCACGCGGCGCCCCGCGAGCGCAGAGAGGCGCGCGGCTACCGGAGTTGCAAAGTAGCAGCGTCCCGACTCCGCGGCGGCCCCGGCGGCAGCTCCAGCAGCCGCGCGTCCCCAGCGTGGCGGTGACCCCGAGCCGGGCCCGCCGCCTGGGACTCAGGCTGGGGGGCCGCGGGATCCCGGAGTCCGGCGCCCCTATGCGCCTCCCCGCCGCCGCCTCGGTGCCACAGCGATGACCCTGAGCACGGAGATGTCCGATGCCTCCGGCCTCGCGGAGGAGACCGACATCGACGTGGTGGGGGAGGGCGAGGACGACGACGACGAGGAAGAGGAGGACGACGACGAGAGCGGCGGTGGCGGGTCCCGGCGGGCCGTCCCCGCACAGCGGCGGCGGCGGCGGCGGCGTTCGTACGCCGGGGAGGACGAGCTGGAGGATCTGGAAGAGGAGGACGAAGACGATGACATCCTGCTGGCTCCGCGGGCGGGAGGCTCCCCGGCGCCTCCGGGCCC